ATATAAATTCATTATTTTTGATTTAACTGTACCTCGCAAACATCCACATAGGATACGTCTCAGCTGAGACCAAATTCTTACTAATAAGAATCTAACTTCATAAATACTTGCTCTTTAGCACTTGTATCTTTAAATCTTTAATTTCATAGCATATTTTTTTTATTAGCATTAACCTGCTCTCTGTATTCCTTTTCTATGTCATGCATAAATTTCTCAAAGTTCATCTATTATAATCGAGCAGGTGCTGAGATAGTACTTTAAGCTCATTCATAATTTAGTGACTATTCTCTTCTATATGATCATACTTTAGTGCTTTCGGTTAAGTAATATTATTAGTTTAGGTTCTAATATCTGTAACATATATAGCCAGTATTACTAGGAATACATTGCATTCTAATCAGCTTCAAGGATGCAATATTTTTTCCTGAGTTATAATTTTGTGTTTTCTATTTAATGAGTTCTTATAAACCTCTAACGTATATCTCAAATAAAATTCAATTTGTTCAGACTTCTCAGAAATAGATTCCCTCTTCAAAGATACTTTTCGGAAGTTGAATTAAGAAAAGTTATTTCATAATCAAATGATAGAATATTTTTTTTGGGCTATACGAAGAAAAAAAGGATAGTCTATTGATAATATATTTATAGTCAGAATGGAACATTTTATTAGATATAGTTTTACGCAAAAAAAGTTTGCACAGAAGAAATTTACTCTTGGCATAGAACATAGCATTAAAAATAAATTTATGCATCAATATCATGAGAGATCTGCTAGTAATACAACTTCAATCAAATTATGTGTGCATTATAATCTCTAATGCTGATTACTTTTGCCTAGCCAGCATTAATATAGGATCACATTTTTGTGATACAAATAATAAATTTTTTATTAATTCGTTTGTGATATTCAAAAGAAATAAATCACGTATTTTCTGAAATCACGCAGTCTCGCAAATTTGCCAAGAAAAAAATACAAATAAATGTGTAAAAATAATCAGCTATCAGGGTACTTTATTGATATAGGAAAAGTAAAATACAACAATTAGATTATTTTTTTTAAATTTTATAGACTTTCTTTTTTTCATTTTAGTGGTAATGATGATCTTAGTGGAGAAGATACTGTGTAGCAATTTTCTGTATTACTACTTAAACTAGTTAGAAATATGTAATATAGAAGAGATATATTAATTCTATAGTTATAAGTATGCATTAATTTTAAGTAAGTAAAATATAAGAATTGCATTTCACATACCATCTTTTGGCTGTATCAGAATTTCAACTATATGTAAATTATAAAAATAGTGTATTTTGTCTATACCTTGAATAAAAATATTTAGATGTATCTCAGTTCTGATAATTTGGATTCCAATAATACCAAAATCATCTTTGTTCAGTTTGCATCCTTTGTGAGTCTAATACATTCCATCGTTCATCTCTTTCCAAGTTTTTATCCTATTATTTTTCTTTTTTTTTGTTTATTACAAATGATATGAGAACTTTTACCATAAATTAATTCATATAACCTATTATTACAACTAATGATAAATATAACATCTAGTCATTTTTCATCTCCTCTTCGATCTTTGCTAGCTATACTTTGATATTCAGCTATGAAAATATAACTAGGTTTTCCAATTAGAAGATCTTTCAATAATACTTGAATCATCAGAACTATTATATCAGTCATATATATTCCTTCACTTTGTGACTTAACCAGTTTTGGACTGAAAACAGGATTTTTTCAAATATCTTTCCTATAAAGAATAATGTTAAATGTAATTTCAAATAGAAATTTTAAGAAATGACAAATATGATTGTTAAAATTTTTATTGTTAAAATACTCATAAGATATTGAATATTCCTAATATAACTTTTGCTAGTTTTTCATTAGATTCTTTCTAACTTTTATCATATAAAAGTCTATTATTTAGAACATTTGTAATACTATCTATGAAATTCAAAATGAAGGAATCACAATTATTTTTGATAAGGTCTGGAGTAGTTACTTTTATACGCTTTATCAAATCCTATAGAATTATAATATTAATATGATACTCTTTGCCAAAAGTGGACTATAGCAATACAAAATACTATTTACTAAATTATTCACTATAAAAAAGTTATATGCATCTACTTTCAAAGTTTTCACCATTTCCAAATCTGCACAAATTACTTGACTAGCAAATAGAACGCGTTATGATAAGTTTGAAACACTTTTCTTCTTTAAATATTTACAGAAGTAATAGGCATATGGAGTCTTGCTATTTTTAAGATTGGTTTTCAATATACATAAGTTCGTCACAATTTCGTTTTTAGTAAGTAATTCTTCCTATTTTAATTTTTTGATACTCTAAAGACTACTTACACCTTCATATACATCATCAAACTAACGCAGAAATCTTATATTAGTACTAATATAATTAATCTTTTGATATTAGAATCATGTGTCATCAACATATTTCAAGTAAATCATCAACTATATGTGACCTGCATACAATTAACAATGTACATGAATGCTATATTTTTTTTTCATAAACTATAACTAAGATCTACCCCCATGTGTCTAAGGAATTAATGTATACGATTAAATCTGTGTTCACATGGCTATAGGTACTCACTTAATCTGATTGTAAAAATATCATTCTGCACAATCATCATTTGAGATTATAAATCTGATAAATAATAGTAATAATCACTAACCTTCAAGGGGATATTAACAAGTTTTAGATATTTTTTCAAAATCTGATTGTAATTCTTTTTTACTACTATAATTATCTGATGAATTATTTCTCTTAACTTATCTTTTGAATACCACGTATCATCTTCTATTAGTTAAAAAATAACAGAAAATGCGGTAATATGATCTAAGGGTGAATCAAGTAAAAAATTATAAATATTTTCATATAATGCGAAGGAAGACATAATAACGAAAAAGTATAATGTTAGAATTTCGCTAAAAAAAAATAATAAGTGACAAATAACTCAAATTTAATACACTTGTCTTTTTAAATCCCTGATGACTTTTTCATTTATGTCTTCTCTAACTTGCATTCATATTTGGAAAAGAGATATGAGAAATATGCAAAGCACTTTACACTAAAATTTTTTTTGAAAATAAGGACATATGAAATATGTATTAAAGATCTTAATATTATAAAGACGTTGGGGGATATGCATATACATATTTTTTTATTTCACTTGCTTGACTGCTCAGTAATAAAGACCTAGTAACATTATATAAATATACTCTGGTTAGAATCTAGTAGGAATAGCCTGTAGTAATACAACACTCTGAAAGAAATAAACTCATAAATAAATGCTATTCAGATAGATAGGGGAAAAATTTGAAATATTTTAGAAATTGCTTTATGTGTAAAATTAATTTGTCGTACAAGTAGTCACATAGATTTACAACTGATTTGGGCAGTGTATCATCTATTACATTATATATATTTTAATAAGAATTGAAAACGTGCTAATTTATGTTGCATATACCTTCATTTATTGGTCTTGAGACGCTTTACATGACTGAACAGTATAATATATTATTTTATTAAGACAAAATACCATTCTACAGAAAAAAAGTTAATAATGTTTCCCTATATAAAAGAACTATTTTTTGATTTATATATCTCTTCAACTATATTCTAGATATCGTAGGTGATATATTTTACTGCTAGAGGTGTGATAATTTATTCTCTGTCACGTTCACAGATTCTTTTTATATTCAATGAATTAGCCTTATATTTCTAACATTCTGTAACTCTAATGAGATATTCAATGTTATCTTTATTAATATAATAATATTCAGGATTCTATAGCCACTTTAGCTGATTAGACCAATCAGAACCTCTAACAACTTTATAACTTTACTGGTATAATATTTTAAAAACAATATCATATGTTACATTAGCTAATCTCAAATATAATTGATATTTCTTATCAAATATCCAGTCAACATGAGGAGTTATACCTAAATACTTCTTATCATCAGGAGTACTATTATTTCTCACCATCTTCCAAATTATTTTTGCCAACGATTTGGGTCTCATTCTGTAACTCTGCTAAACCTGTTGAATAACTTTAGTACTGTTAAATAAGCGACATGCAAGAGTTTTCCTACCTTCATGTGAATAATCATAACTATAATGATTTAAGCCTCTACTGTACATAATTAAATATATTAGATAAATCTCTTCAATCTTATCAGGACTAAGTGATGCCACTCTTTCTCCTTTTTTTCGTATTCTTTTATACATAATTATAATGAATTTTAGAAGTTTTAGTAATATATTTATTCAGGTGATCATTAGCACATCTGATGGTATTTTCACGAATAATTACTAAGAAGTTGCATACAATGTAATAAATATAAAATGAGTGTCTCTCAGCTTTAAATTTCCTATCTATATATTTCCTTTCAACTATTTGGATAAATCCATTCTTGGAGAAGTATTTGGGGTTATATTCAAGAAGTTTCTTAAATAGATAACAAATACGAGAATACCACATTTCTGGTATTTCACCACTATACCTATATTGCAGATTGTTCAATGCCTGTACTACTACAGGATTTAAACCAGAATAGTAATTAGTTTTAATCATTTTTATAGTTTATAGCAATTTCACTGATTTTATAGATTTATAGCAATTTAATGATTTATAGCAGTTTTATTGATTTTAACAATATTATATATGGGATATAACTGATTCATTTTTTTGTAATATACAAGTTTAAGCGAGAATAGTTTACTATACTAAGTCACTTATTAAAAATCACATGCATATTCCATTTTGGAACACAGAATTCCATACCTATTCTGGAAAAATTCTCATACACATATTTTTTATTTTCTAATGCATATACATATCATATCATAATTAAAAAGAATAAATGCCTAATCAGGTGAAACTTTATTTTTAACATTACAGAATAATATATAAATTAGCTATATAAGTTTCATAGCTTCAATTACAGAATAAAATATCACAATATAATCTCAATTGATTCGTGCTGTTTTCTTTTTCTTCATTTTCTTGGTACTTGTAGTATTTTCAGCTTTCTTGTTGCTTTCAGAAGTATGAATCATTCTGATCGTTATCTTAATAGCTTCAATCACATTACTACTGGCCCACAAAAAATCTTGTATAATTTTTGAGCTTTCAGATAATAAGTGTTAATTTAAAAAAAATTAAAAATGTTAATTTTGTGTTCTCCATATTCATTTTCTGAAATCCATTTATACGAACCTCATATTTTAACAAGCCTATTATAGCTTTATCAGCATTCGCCATATCTGCCTATGTTTTAGATGAGGAAATGTCAGTATTGCTTCTGTAATGTAAACCTCAGTATATTTTAGTTTGAATTTGTATATAATCAACTCATTTACTATAAAAAATATAAGAATTAACAATGTAGAATAACAATAATATGCAAAAAATATTAAAAACTTACAATAAGCTTGTAATTCAAATAATCTGACTAATGTGATATTGGAGCTTAGATTGAGTTTGACAAATTAATTCATTAAAGTTTTCATCATCTTCATGATCTTTATATGATTACCCATGAAGTGTATCTAATTATTTTTCAGTAAAGTCCACTGACTTTAATTACTGAGAACTCTTTATCTTCTTCTCTCATACAAATAATAGTATCATTTTTTTTCCTAAAGATCAGTGTTCATCATCTTTTTTACTAGAATTAACATCTTTCGTACATGCCTTGAAGCAAGTTTTTCTGTATGAAACAAGCCAATCCTTTTTCTTTTTGTCAAAGAAGTAATCAAGAATGGATGCTAAAACTTTTATAATATAGGTCTCTCAGATATAGGATCATGAAACAAATTCACATCTTCTATCACTTTTACCCTATATAAGGTAGGTTTCATTAGTCTTATCACACTTCTCGATAAATCAAATAATCAAATAAATATATTTACATATAGCTCACAAAATGTAATGCGAATCTCTTTTCAAATATTTCAGCATCTCAACAATTAAGATTTTCTTTAGTCTTCTTAATATCGTGATTAATAATATTTTTATAAATAATTTAATCTCTTGATTTTTGTGTCTACTTTTGCCATCTTTATTTCCTTACGCATCTGCACAATAATACTTTTGTCTAATATTCTTAGAAAACTATCTCCGTCATTTAAATTGAAAAAATTAATGTCGTAATATTTTGGATGAGTTTTAGGTGAATTTACTTCAAATTGATAATTTGTTAGCTTTTCTCTAATATTAATTCTACTAATAATCCAATCGGTGCTTTTTCTACTGATAATAGTTAAATCTGCATCGAATTCATTATCCTCTTCATCTGTATCATGGTTATTGACTAGAAAAGGATTTAGCTCAGGTCGTTTATGAATGTGAATCAGAAAAGTATCATAAAGAGAACACTCTTTTTTCTCTTTATCTTCTGAAGTAATATGTCATTCAGGAGTATGTATCTGTTGAGTCTGTTCGTGTTGAAGATGAGGTTGTATAACATTACGAGGGAAAAAATCTTCCATTATTCATTTCATTTTTTTTGTATTTTATGATCGTTCTAAAGTATTAAAATACAATATGATTAGTCTGCTGATTCTCAACTTCAAGAGAAAATATGAGTATATATATTTCCTTCTGATCTCTTTCTGGCTTTTTTTTCCTTGGAAATTTAACATTATTGATTACCTTAGAGTCGCATTCCAAAGAATTTCTGGCAATTGTTGAGTTGTAAAAATGAAATGAAAATTCTGCTTTAGCTGACGTACGCTTATTCTCCCAATTTCTTGCTTTTTTGTAATCAGGATCAAGTCAATTATTCTTACATAAAAAAATTTGAGAATTATATTAGTAATTATTTAAATAAGTATATTCCTGACTCCCATTTAATTTTTTACCTAATCTGATCAACGAAGAGCCTTGAATATCAGACAACTGAAGAGGTTACCTGTGCCTCAGTACTGGTTTTATGGCTGAGCGAAGAGCCTTGAATAACAAGAACCAAAGAGATCTTCTATTACGCCACTATTTTTCACATATATTTCTAGCAAAAAAAGAATTTTACTTACTTTATTATATCTATCAAGGAAATATCTTGCTTTATCTTGATTGGCACCTCCCTTACATTCAATAATAGTTCTCAATAATTTGAGGTAATGATCAATCTTGTCTTCAAGTATTTCTATATCTCACTCATTCAGAAAATCTATAATGTTCTATTTCATAGATTTACATTCAAAGAATTTGTCTATCTTAGATATGATTAAAAAATAATGAATAGACTTAACATCATGATGACATATTTCAAGAAGCTAGCTGAGTAATAAAACTAATATATCTTATTATAATTTTATGAAATATGTGAGTTTGTTTAATCAGAAATATTAACGGTATAATTATTAGTAAGTTTTATTAGTTTTGCTTAATTATTTGCTTATATTTACATAAAACAGTTAAAAGGATTCACTAACTGGGCTAGCTCTTTTTATATATTTTTTCAGAATCAATTTAGAAGTATCTTTTTTGAGAAAATTACGTTAATATGATCAGATCATGAAAATTTGATCAACAGATCTCCTTAATTTAACAATAACGCTATCCACATATAAAGATCATCAAAGGGTTATATACAATTTGAAAATGTGTAAGAAAGTTTGAGAATGTGCAATTACTTATTCCTGTGATACATGTAATAATTACTATAATATTACTGCATATTTATTTATCAAGCTACAATAAAAAATAATAATACATGCTTTTCTTCACACAATCCCGTCATTATTCTATGCAAAAAAATTATAAAATATCTGGTAAATTTGCACTATTGCTTTATTGATCAAATTACTTAAGGACATTCACATTGCTTATAAATTCCTTCCGCTACCTTCTTACACTTTTTGCAATACAGATGTGAATGATGATCGCTTTCCTCATAAACCTTACATCTATGCTTCTATCTTCTAAATATATGTTATTTTTCAAAGTAATTTTGCCTTAGCACAAAGTGCCTTCCAATTCTTTATAAGCTATATTATTCTGATTGTTTGATAAGAAATTTGGCATGATATATAAGTATTAATATAGTCAAAAAAAATTCTTTTGTGACCAAAATTTCATTTACCTCAGAATTTGCACAGTCCTATTATTTCAACAGTATATTTATCATGGTAATGAGTAATAACTGCACATTTTTTCGAGTGATCAATTTCACATAATCTATTTTGTCCTATGCTATGAATGTGAACTTGAGTTTATTACTTGAAGTGTTGCAGGTAAGACAATATTCCAACCTATTTTGGAAATATAATTTTACTAGTTCAGGATCATAAGGTAACTGATTCCCGTTTTTAAGATACTATGAGCTATGTAATATATAATTTCTATATTTTCCATCATAAATAGGACATAGTGAACTCCATGATTAAGGTGATATAAAATCATAATTATCAATCCTTCTGAAACTATTTTTAAATTTCAAGTATGGGAAGTGCTCTAAAACAGATTTGATAATTAATTCTAGATTGGGTCTGACTTCAAAAGTGATAGGCCCTTCTTCTTCATATTGCTCAGGAAAAGATAATACTTTGTTTTCTAGCATCGAATTTATAACTTTTAATTCATATACTTCTGATAATTGCCATGGCTCATGCCCAGTTTCTTTTTTATATTTTTTATATAAGCTGGACTGAATCTTATCTATCAAAACATTTAGTAATCCACTTAATTTGACATGCCAATCCAGATATTCAGAAGTTAGTATTTTATCATTGAACATATCTTAATTTTATATGATTGCGAGTCAATTTAAATCCCTTTTTTCTCATATAGACCCATTTGTTTGAAAAAAAGATTAAAATTTCCAGATAGATTATCACCCTAAAGAGCTATTCAGAAGCAATAAGACTATGTAACTATCTTAATTTCGTGCTATTCACATTTAATAAAATAGGATCCAGCTTTATATCTACTTTTTATACTTTCTTCATTATCATGACCTAGTTTGCATAATAGGCATGATGTATCATTGGTAATCCCATAATAATCAAAATTTTCACTATTAAATTCTCTATATAGATTAGAATATTGATCCAATATCTTATTACGAAAATATGTGCAGTCATAGGTTAGACTAGTTCTACTTGTTTGATGTGTGATTAATAAAATCATTTCTGCTGAAGTCATATAACTCTGATCATTACTATTGGTAATGATTTTTGAAATTACATGAACTCGATCATTCACATAACCTATAATATTTTGAATTTGAGTATTGTTTAATCTAGAGATATCACTTATGCTACAAGTAACTAATTCCTTTTTCTCTAAATAGCATAAGAATATTTTTAGCTTTAATGTGTTCAGATTCGCAAATTACCCAGAGTGATATTAGATAAATACTGCAACATTTTTTTATAAATCATTGATCTTGCTGTTTTATCTTTAGTCTTGCCATTAGCTATAATATTTTTTACTTTTTCTTTGAACTTGAAGGAATAATGATACAAGCATAAGATTTCTTTTAAACCTATTCTTATAGCTTCATCAATCCAATAAGCTAATCTCTGCGTAGAGCCCTCAATTGTGTTATTTAAGATGGACTCATCATATAGTTTAATTAATACCATTGATTAAATAAGCCTAGAAAGTTCATGCTTCAAAGTTTGCTTAGCGACTTGATTTCTATTAAGCGGTTGTATAATAATTGACCTAAACATTTCATCAGATAGGACATTTTCACTATCAGTATAAGTGATCATTTTTGTATCGCATGATAAGTTGTCCTCAATGGATGATAGGCAGAGATATTATCACCTGTACTAAGTGATAATTCAAATCTTGATTGTTACCATTAGTAACAGTTTTTTTGTTACATAATAATTTTGAATAGACTTGATTTTTAGCTGACTCATATAGAAATTTCTTCTCCTTATTGTGTTGCTTTATTTTACTACTAATGATTTTCTTATGAGCTTCAAATAAGAAACTATTCATATCTTTCTCTTTCAACAGTTTGCTATTAAAGCATTTCGCAGAGTTGGCAGGTATCATCGCTATCAGTTCTTATTTATTATAGCAAACCTTTTCAGAAGAATTATCTGTTTCCACATTTACCAATGATTTCTCATGATACTCTATAACTGAATTAAAGTTAGATGTACTATTATTAGAAGAATTATCATTATACAACTGCTCTTCTACTAGTAAAGAAGCCTATTTCACTATTGCAAGTCTGGTCTCAAGCTCCTTATTTTTTTACTTCAGTTCCTTAACTCTAATATCACATTTAGTATTCTTCTTCACAATCTACTTTAAAAGTTCAGCTTTTTCTGCCTCAAGCTTGGCATTCTTAACTCAAATTCAATAATATGCTATTTCAATACTTCAAGCTCAGATGACATGATTGATAAATTTTATATAAGAAGTGAAATATTCAAAAGTTAGTTAGTATATATACATAGAGATTGTGACATTTTATCAAGAGAAAATTTATAAAGTCACCAGATTTCCAGACTGTGTGGTTTCGAAAAAATGCCAAAAAAAAATTTTTCAGCACTATTTATTTTTAGAGTTGATCTTGTATTGCATGTAGACCTCCTTTCACATTTTCTCATGTTTGTTCAGGAAAAAAAATAGAGGTATTGTTTAGGATATAATTTCTTTTTGATATTATTAACGTGCAATCCTTGCGAATTGCGACAGTTAGACGAGATGTTCAAGCGGTTTGTTTTTTTTAATTGAGCAGTAATCTTTTAACAGTTTAAAAGTTTTAACACAGACGATTTATTAAAGTATTTATATCATCACAACGAGTTATGATTCAACAGATTGCCAGTGGTGTGTATTTGTAAATATTATGTTTATTCATGAGTAAAATAATAATAAAGAAAAGAAAAGAAGAGTAATACTAAAACTAAAATGTAATACGATAGGCCTAGTTGCCTTTAAACTGTAGTGTAATGTGATAAGTCTGGTTGCTTCTAAACTGTAATATAATGTGATAGGTCTAGTTGCCTCTAAACTATAACATAATGTGATAGGCCTGATTGCCTCTAAACTGTAACATAATGTGATAGGCCTGGTTGACTCTAAACTATAACGTAATATGATAGGCCTTCAGGATTGGTTACCTACATTGGCTAACAATACCCCACTCACTGCTAAATCTACTCAAGCTATCTTCTCTCTTAAGTTTCTTTGATATTCTTTTCAGTTGTTCTTAATATCTAATTATATCTGCAAAATTCATACGCTTTCTTTAGTGTTATTACTGCGCCAATTAGGAAAAGATAGTCCTATCATTATCACCAAATATTAATGTATAATCCTTACGAATTGCGACTGTTAGACAGGGTGTTCGAGTGGTAATTCTTTTAAGTTTAAGTAGTGACTCAATTCAATTTATCTCAAAATTTATAATCTACACAGTAGTGTATTCACAATAAAACTAGGAGCAGGATGGCTTGATTGATTCAGAAGTATAATAATATGTTTATTGATAATAATAAAAATAAAGATAAGAGATAATAATAGTAAAATAAGCAAATAAGAAAGAATACGAAAAGAAATCAAAAGAGTTAGAGTACTAAGTGAAATGTTAGGTCAGGCGCCTCTACAAGGACTACTAAATGTGTATCTAAAAGTAAAACTAAAGGAAAACTAAAAGTGAACTAAAAGTGAACTACTGTTTACATAATTCTATTGCTCTCTATTTATATTAAATTAATATATAGATGGATATAACAAATAAATTAAATATATCTAATATGTCCGATATGTTCAAGATATCAACTATATCAAATATATTTAGTATATCAAATATATTAAATATGTCTGATATATCTAACGTTTAGATCTGCAATATGCTGCATCACATTCATCAATCCAATCCTGTTACAATATTAAAATTTAACTATTATCTTAAATTCAGTAAATAATATTTGAAGAAATAATTTTTTTTGAAAAAGTTATTTATTTTTGAAAATATAAGTTGATAAATAATTATTAATATCAATAAATAATATTAAAATTTATTAAATTTAAATAAATATAAAAATAAAAAAAAAATAATAAAAAATAAATTTTTTATTAACAGAATATGTTAAAATTATAGTAAAATAATTCTAATTATACAAATATTTATTAAATTATATTGTATTTATATTTTTATAATAACTTGTTTAAATTATTCTAACATTTCTTTTATATTTTTAAGTAATTTTTGTGAAATTTAATTTTTTAATGATAAATCAAATTTTTTTATAAAAAATTAATTTATAAAAGATTTTCTTGAAATTTATATTCTTCTGCTAAATATAATATTTAAATTATAAGTTCTTTAAGAATTTATATATTTGTAATTTTATTTTAATATAATTAATAACTAAATTATTTTTTTTTATTTAATAATTTAATTATATAAAAAACTTTTTATTTTAGGATAAAAAGTAATACTTCTTAAAATTCCAACATATTTTTTTTTTATTTTTTTACCTTTTATCATTAAATTATCTAAATTAAAATAGTTTACAATAATATTTCTTTATAAAGACTAATCAATAAAAGAAGGAAATCTAAATTTTGATAAACTTTTTTTTATTAGTCTACTTGACTAATTATAATTATATAGATTCTTTGTAATAGAAAAGGAAAAAACTACCAAAAATTTTTTTTTGAGTTAATATTAAATCTGAACTTATTTTATTAAAAAAAAATAATATTTAGCTTATAAAGTAAAAAAAAAATTTTTTTAGTAGTTTTCTCCTTTTCTATTGCAAAGAACCTATATGCTTAAAATTAGCTTAGGAACTAAAATTAATAAAAAGTTTAGATTTCTTTTTATTTTATTGATAAGCTCTCATATTTAATTATTATTAAATTTTTTTTAATTAAATATAATACTCTTTATTTTATTTTTACTTTATTATATTAATTTATAAATTTTTTTAAAAAAATAAAAAATGAATTAAAGTAAATATGTAAATATAAAATATAAAAAAAAACAAAAAACAAAAAATTAAAAATAAAAAATAAAAAAATTAAACTCTAAATAAAATTAAAATAAGCACTCTTATTAATTTTATCAATTATATATAATTATATATCTATAAAATGATAATACTTAAATTTGAAATTTTATGATAATTAAAAACTTTATTATAATTTTTATAATTAGTTTATATAATCTTGAATATTAATTTAATGATAAAGTAATATATAATAAACTTAAAATCTTAATTAAATTATATAAAAATTTTATTATTTATTATTTTTAAAAATTATGATATATTATAAAATTACAAAATAAATATATTATATAAATTTAAAATTTAATATATTAAATATGATATTTTTATTGTAAAGTATGTTTATTTCTATATTTTAATTTGTAGTTATTATAAAATTTTTTAATAATTTTTTAAATTATTTTTTATTTTAAAAACTTTATATTTTTTCAATAGTTATATAATTTAATTAAAAATATTTTTTACTTTTTATATTTATATTTTTTTATATAATAAATAGAAGTTTTAATAACTTAAATAATAATTTTTTTACTATTTAATAATAATTTTATAATACTATTTTTTTCATATTTATTAGATTTTATTTATATTATATTTATAATTTATTTTAATTATTTTATATTTATAATTAAACAAAATATTTATGTATTTACTTATATATATAAATTTTTATTAAAATTATTTTTTTTAAGATTGCTTATTTAAACTTAATTCAGATTTAACAAAATATTTAAACCTTTAGTATACTAATTTTTTATTAATATTTAATATTATTTTACTATTTTACAAATTTATCTTTTTTAAATTTTGTAAATTTTTTAATAAGATTTTACTAAATTTTATCTTATAAATTTAGATAATCAATAAAACTTTAGATTTTTTTAACAACTTTAATTTAAGTTAAATTAATTATTTTAATTATTTATAATTAATTTTATATTTAAAAGTATTTTATCTATTTTTATTTTGATTATACTATATATATAACTTAAAATATTTTAATTTAATAATATATATTATAGCAATTTCTATTTGTATATGAGTGTATTATATACAGATTATATAATATAATTAGCATTAATATTACTTTTTACTAATATGAAAAAATTAAAAAAATACATGTATGATAACTATGTAATAGATAATATGTGACAAATAATAATTTTTTACCAAAAAATTTTAAGTCTAGAATAAATAATAAAACTAAAGGTAGAGAAATATGATACTATTGATAAATATATATATTACATAATCTATATATATATACCTTGTATAAACTTAGAGATTTTCTATATAAAATATATAAAAAATATAAGTATAATCCAAAAATTTTCTTTATTTTTTATTTATATTATTATATAAGTTAATAATAAAATTTATGAAAAAATTTTAATATATATATAATAAGATTTAAAATTAATAATTTATATTAATAATCCTAAAATTTTGTTTGCTTTAATAGAATTATTAATATAAATTAATATAAAAAAACAATAATAATAAATTGAATTATATCACAAATTTAGTAAATTAAAGTTATAAGAATAATATTTAATTAGAAATTTCTATTTGTATACAGGTATATTATATACAAATTACGT